TTCTTTTTTGCAGTGCTGGAGATGAGCCCAGGGCCTCATGCATGCTAGCTAAGCACTATGTCACTAAACTATATCCCCAGCCTTCTCAGCTCTTTTAAAATTTTCTGAGACAGGGGCTCACTAAGTTGTTGAAGTTGATCTGGGAACTTGCACTCCTCCTGCCTTAGCCTCCTGAGCTTTTGGGATTAGAGGTGTGTGCCATGCCTGGCTTATTATTTTCACTGTGGTAATAAGGCCATGGACAGGCTGCTCAGCCACTCTTTGTGCCTCTTCTGAAAGATGGCAATGCTAATCAGTATAAAGTGTCTATTTTAATGCCTGACACAGTCAAACACTCGATAAGAGCTAGCTATTGTTATTTCCCTCATTATAATCTTGGGATAGCCAGACACAGTGGTATATTCCCGTAATCCTAAGGATTCTGGAGGCTGAGGCAGGAGGATGGCAAGTTCAAGGCCTGGCAATTTAGCGAGACCCTGTCTTAAAATAAAAAATAAAAAGAGTTGGGGATGTGGTTTAGTGGTAGAGCATACCTAAGTGCACTCCCCAGTACTGAAAAAAAAAAATCCCCCCTCCAATGCCAGGATTCCCTATTGGTACCTCTGTCCAAGTGAAGCCAGAATTAGACAGGCAGTGTAGATAGGTAAATTGAGTCAGGTCGGATCTTGGAGGCCAATTTGAGTGWGTCTGCCCCTGCTTCAACCTGTGGCCAAGGTAACCTGTCCCAGGGATTTCCCCTCCTCACAGGGAGCAATAAGGTTTTTTTTTTTTTTTTTTATAGATTTTTTTTTATTGGTTGTTCACAACATTACAAAGCTCTTGACATATCATATTTCATACAAGGCAATAAGGTTGTTAATGTGTCCTGTCTACTCCATCCAGCCCTTCCCCCTTTAGCCCACCTGTTTCCCACCTTTGGCCTTCCCACTGAGCATTCCTGGGCCTAGTCAGGTATGCAGGAAGGAGAAAGATAAGGGGGTAAAGCAGGAGAACAAAGGAAGCCTAGGCCATATAAAAWGGGCAGAACACCTCGCTTCTTGGGATACCATGATACCAGCTGTGGTCCCCTTCTCCCTCAKGGGAGAAGTCTACGTTACCTCTTTTTAAATAAACCCTGCTTCATWTGCTTGCCTCGGCGTGCTTCTCTCWTGTTCAAACTTCAACCTGCAGGGAAGCTGAAATCTTCACCATTCCGGTGGTATCACAAGGAAGAATGAGTTAGAACACGGTAGATGTGCTGCTTCAATCTGCTTTCCTGACCAAGCTAACCCTGGYAGGGCCTAACCAGTTGTCCCTTGCCACCCTTCTTGGTTTGTTTTCACCAGTCTCTACTTCTGCTTTTCAGGGAATGGTGGGAGAGTGGGAGGCAGGGGATGAAGCCAACAGGCTACCCATTCTCTGAAACTAGTCATCAGTGGTTACTTGGTTATCACCCTGATTTTTGACCTTTTCCTTCCCTGTAGCTTTGCTGAAATTTCTGAACTCTTCTTCGTTAGCCTCCCCAGCTCTTGTGTATTGTGAAATAACTCTCCATTCTCAGAGGCAGGCGCATTTCTGCAGGGAAAAAGCAGAGAGGGTGGGAAGTTCTCTGTTGAGCAGATTAATGGCACAACAGATGGGGAACTGTCTGGTRGAGTGAGGGAGAGGGAAACTAGTATGCACTGATGGAGACTCTTTCATAGGACCCAGGTTTGGCCAAGCAGCTTCTAAATCGCCATCATACAGCCCTGCAAGCAAAATAGTTAACTCCATAACACAGAAGAAGGAACTTGCCCAAAGCCGCACAGCTAGCCTATACATATGGGGATCTAACCCGGATCTATTCAATGCTAGTCTCTCTCTTACTTTTTAGTATGTGGGGGCACTCTAGGACTAAAACAAGGTGTCTTTATTGGTGCTTGAAAAATGACATTTTGCATGTCTTYTCTCTCTCTTTTGAGTTGTAGATGGATACAATATCTTTATTTTTATGTGGTGCTGAGGATTAAACCCTGGGACTCATGCATGTGAGGCAAGTGCTCTACCCCTGAGCTACAACCCCAGCCCTTGCATGTCTTCTCTGTAAAATCTGAGAATCTCCATTGCCTCAGAACTGTAAGCCTGGCTCAAACTGGAAGAAGAAATGATCCTTGGAAGGTACAGTCAATTCTGTGAAGAGCCACTATAATCTCCAGGAAGCAAAGTGTTAGAAAAGGCTGGCCATTCTGTTTTTTTTTTTTTAATATTTATTTTTTAGTTATAGGTGGACACAATGTTTATTTTACATATATGGTGCTGAGGATCAAACCCAGTGCCTCATGCATGATAGGTGAGCGCTTTACCTCTGAGCCACAACCCCAGCCCCCTCCTGTATTTTGTCCAGGTGGAAGTCGGCAGTTTATTGTCATCAGAAAACTTATCGGGCTAGAACTACTTGTCATTATATTTCACAATTTGTCATTTGCTCAGGAGCTTTCTGTCCAGGTAATAGGTCAGAAGTCCAAGGAACTATTTCTGGGCTCTGGCCTTTGGAAAAGCAGTCTTGTCCTGTTTACACATCCTCCCTCAGATTTGCACAGTCTGACCACAGAAATGTCACCCACCAAGCTCAGGTAAATAGAGCCAACCTAATAGGCTYTAGTCAGCCAATTGAGCAATCAAGAGCATCCAGACCCCTATACTAAGAACTGTGATAAATATAGAAGAAAACAGCAGCCCAAGGTCAGTACCCTTGGGCTGCTGGAGCAGAGACATATTTTTGCCTGGGGAAGAAAGCCATGCAATGCAAGTTCTGAGCCCCTGTCAAATATGACCCTTGGTCTAGACTCTTGTCTTGGTTAACCAGCAGTTATACTACAAATGGGGCAAGGAGGGCAAGAGGAGTGAAGGTCTGGATGAGTTATGCCATCTTTGGAAGACAAAGCTGGAACAAGGGGCCTGTGTCTGGGCTTTTAAGTCCTTTTCTTCAAAAAAAAAGTCAGGTGGGAAAAGAATGATCTGGGGATAAAACACAGCAAAAGGCTGTGAGGAGTTCTTTTCTAGGCAGGTTATAGAGAGGAAGCACTCTTCCATGAATGGGAGCTTGTGCCGAGGTAATCAAATCGTGTGTGTGTGTGTGTGTGTGTGTGTGTGTGTTGGGTGGGAGGGTGGGATGGAGAGAGGCAGAGATGCAGAAAGGAGAGAGAGGTGGAAGACCAGAAGCTTGGCTGCTTCAGAAGGAAGAGCCACAGAAGGAAGTTGGAAGACAGCCTTGGCTCACACAGTTGAAGGTGTCACTGATAAGTCTCCAGAGGTCAAAAAGCTGTGTTAGCCTGTCCAAACCTGGATTTTCTTACAATGCTGAAGCCCCAGGATGAAACCAGCCAGTTTATCCTGTTTTCCACCAGTTATTTCAGAAGTTATCACTAAATGTCATCTTTAATCTTTATTTGCAACACTGTTTTTGCTTAATATGGTAAGCGGGGGAAACCCCCAATGTTTGCATAGGGATCTGCAAACAGGTAAAGTTGTGCTATAAAATGGGAGAGAATTTGAGAAGTGGCCTAACACCTCATCAGTAGCTCTGCAACTGAGATGAGGTCTTTATCTCCTAGGATTTTAATGGTGGGGTTGAAATAAAACAATTTATATGAACTTTTTGAGCCTGTTCCTGTCCCTTGGAGCAAAATAAATGTGGGTGTTCTTTCAATAGGGAGATACTGTCTTTTGAGGGAGCCTGGGAAGAAGTCACCTCCATATTGAGCCAGTACTTTCCATGACTGCCCCAAGTGCTTCATGACGTCCACTCCTACCATCCTAATCCGAGTTTTTCCTCCTAACTGGATTTGCTGCTTCTACTCTTATCTTYTGAGTTTACTTTCATAACAGAAGCCAGGGGGATTTTCTTTCTTTCTTTTTTAAAAAAGCAACAGTATCTTGTCATTTCCCTGTTCAAAACTCTTCAAATGCCCCATTACAGAATAGAACTTAAACCCTCTGCCATAGGTTGCTGGGCCCTAATGTGACTTGCATCTTGCTGTCTTAACATTCTTTCTTTGGTCCACTCTGCTGTAGCCACACTAACCTTTCTTCCTGACTTCACTAAGTCAGTTCCCTACTCAGGGCTTTTGTATTAGTTACTCCTCTGCCTAGCCTCTGTTCTTGTCACCTGTCACTAAGGTCTTGTCTGACCACCCAAACTAGTCACCTGCTAAACCTCCACACTACTCTAATTTGCTTCCTAGCAAATGGTATTGACACTAATTCAAGTAGTCTTGTTATCATTTGGTTACTTATCTGTCCCCCACCCTCAACAACACCCTGGAGAGAGAGAGAGAGGGCTGGCCTACCACTGAATACCTAATGTTAAGCAAAGTTTAGCACATATAGATTTCTAGAGTTTGATAAACGATCTTTTCAACTCCTAACAACAATCTTGTGAAGACTGTGAGAAAGCAGAGTTTCTGAAGGCTCAGAATTAGAGACCTGCTCTATCTGACCATTGAACTCGCCTTTCGTCTTAGGATACCTGCCCCTCTTCATCAGGGAGCAGTTTCCCTTCTCTCTCCATCTTCCTCACCCACTTAATCTGCCTCTCCTTGGAGGGCATGCTGGACTTCCTGTCCCTTCTCAGAGTCTGGTGCAGTTGCGGTTCTCAGGCCCTCCTACATGTTGGGGGCTCAGATAGCTGCCCTTTTCCTAAAATGGATCCTCTGGGAGCTTGCTACCTCTTCCCCAGACTCCTGGATCAGCGACAGAGAGGGGTCCAGCAATGTCTATAATAAAATGGGGGTAGACTCCCTAACCCACTGGTTCAGCGCCTTCACTCCGACCCCCTCCCTAGCCAGGAAGTCCCAGTCTCGTGAGGGGGCGAGGAGGAAACCCCACGCGTCAAGGGCAATGAGGACACACAGGCCGGAATCCGGGATGCTCCAATTCCGCGTAGCAGAACCTTTCTTCATCAAGGCCTMGTTTGCCGGCCGGCCGGCTTTGGAAGAGACACCCCACTTAACCGTTCCTCCCTCCCCCCCTCCCGGCCCTGTCTGCGGAGGCTCGCATGCCTCCCGCCCCAAGTTCCGGCGCTGATCCTGCGGGAGCGTTCCGCGTCGCTCCGGGGCCACCCACGCGTGGGTCAGCAAAGCCCTGCACTGTGCCCAGCACTTCTGAGCTCCGGTGGGCGAGCGCTTGCGGGTTTCTTCCAGCCAGGGACGGCGGAGAGCAGAAGCGGAGGCAGTTTTCGGCCTTAGGCCGGGTGGGCCGGGCCGGGCCGGGTGAGGCGCGCCCATCGTTCGCCATCCAGGGCGCGCGCGGCCCTCTCGGGGCTCCGCTGGCGACCCGTAGCTCGGGCACGCGCCTGTCGCATCCCGCAGGAAGGAGGGGTCCGGCCTGAGGCCCGGGGCGGCGGCCGCCATGGAGATCTCCTCGGCCCAGGGCCGGCGCCTGGGGCCTTGGGGGCGGCCCTGATCGCCCTCCTCCCTGCCGGGGCCGGGTCGCAGACGTGCCCCTGCGGCACTCGGCCACCCTTGCGTCTCCGCCCTCCCCGGGCCGCGCTGCTGCCTGGGCGCGGCGGCGGCGACGGCGCCCTGTTGAATGGGCTGTGAGGGCCCAGGTCTGAAGTGCTGGCGAACGCGGCCTCCGGGGGCGCAAGGCAGCAGCAGCGGTGGCGACCAAACGGGTGTTGGAGTTGGCGGCGGCCATGGAGGGCCTGGCTGGCTATGTATACAAGGCGGCCAGCGAGGGCAAGGTGTTGACTCTGGCCGCCTTGCTTCTCAACCGGTCTGAAAGCGATATCCGCTATCTGCTCGGCTATGTCAGCCAGCAGGGAGGGCAGCGATCCACGCCCCTCATCATCGCAGCCCGCAATGGGCACGCCAAGGTGGTGCGCTTGCTGTTAGAACATTACCGTGTGCAGACCCAGCAGACTGGCACCGTCCGCTTCGACGGGTAGGTATACCAAACTACAGCCTCCCCTCCGATGCCCGCGGACCCAGTTCATGGACCCTGCCCTCCCTCACCCTCCTTCATGTGGGTACTCACTTCTCCTTTCTTGTACCTCCTCCAGTCCTACTAAGTGCCCAATTCATCTCCTAGAGTTAACACTGCATCCCATATTTTGCTGCCTATCTTCATCTSTCTCTACCCTATTCCCTCTGTAGATGGAGAGCCACACCCTCAGTCTTGATCTAATGGTCTTCTCTACTAGGTAGTCCGTGAACAAGCGGTGTGGAGGGGTAGCTGCGATTCCAGGTTTTACCTTTATCAGTACTGGCGTTGTAATGGAGATCAGAAATTAACGAGGTCAGCAATTAAAATTGAAGACCTCTGATGGATTATTTGGCCACCCCAGTTTCTCCCCTTCATGTGAGTGGGCCGATAAAGCCCCCAGCAGATTGCTGAGGCTTTTATGTCAAAATGAGTCTCTAGAACCAGAAGCAGCTGCAGTCTCTTGAGGGATTGTCACGCAGCCAGACATCTCAAGACATGATTCCGACTCTTCCACATTGCTGGGATTGATATGTTGGCTAAAAAGTGGCACTGGACCTGATGTAGAAGATGGTGCCATTGTTAAAGTACACGTGATGATGTGGGGAAGCTTGATTAGTTCCTGTTGAAATTTGAGGTGGGGAGTTCAGAAATTTATATTGTCACTGTTAAAAATTTGTTCTTTGAGTTTAATTGAACATACTTTGGGATATGATAATAACAGAATTGTCAGGTTTTATGTTATCCTCTTTTCTGTGATGGAGGATTTAAACATTTTTTTACAGATTACAACTGCATAAAGGTTTTGCATCATTGATTGCATTGGTTTTTATTGACTCATACCAATGGGTAGGCTTTTTTAGCATTTTCTTCTTTTGAAGTAGATGACGTCTAAGCATAAAAAATGATGTATGCTTTAGTCTTGGTGACCAAAAATTACCTGCTTAAAACCCCATTGAAAAAATATTGCTTTTTCAAGATGACCAGGACATGTTAATGTTGGTTGACTTTTTTTTTTAAAAAATATTTTTTAATTGTAGATGGACACAATACTTTCATTTTATTTATTTATCTTTATGTGGTGCTGAGGATCCAACCCAGTGCCTCACATGTGCCAGGCAAGCCTACCATCACTGAACTATAACCCCAGCCCTCGGTTGATTCTGTTTTAGGTTTAATTAATAAAAGCTTTTTATTCTGTTTTAGATGAGAGGAAATGTTTTAGAGTGTTAACATCTTAACCCATGATAGCCCATGGGTGGTGGCTTATCTCTGGGACCATTAAGAAGATGGTGTTGACTAAAGATGGCAGCCTGTTTCATGCGTGCTTCCCCTTACTAGCTTCTCTTTTTTTTTGTAACTTCCTGCGTTCTCATAGCTTTACCTACCCCTAGAGCAGGAGTAAAGCAGAATGACTCATGAACTTCCAGCATCATTCCAGCTRTATAAGCACATGTATCCATTAAGATATGATTCTCTGCAATAATAGCTACGGGAACACTACTGCTAATGAGCTTGCTAATGTGGATAAGAGAGAACAGTCAGGAGAGAAAATAGTTTTCTAAAGAAGTTAGAAAGGCTTTGCTTATTGGTATCTTCTTGGATCATCAAAGCTATTTTGAGGAGGCAATTAAAATAACCTGAAATGACTAGAAATATAGCATTGAGTGTGTTTAGTGGCTTACCTTGTCCAGTATTCTGCACTGGCTAGTGAAATTAAGGGGTGTAGCAAGCAAACATATATTGAACACCTACTGTGTGCCAGACTCTGTAGTAGCTAGGTATTGGTATGTAGAGACAAATGACATAGTGTTCCCACTGTGGAGGATGACAGTGTGTATAGGGGGAGAAATAGATATATGAATGAGTAATTGCAGATGCTTTGCCATTTAGGCTTAGAAATCTTTGGATTACTGAGGGAAAACAGGGAGAGTGCTCAGCTTTGCAGTGGGGGTGGGGATCATGGAAGACTTCACTGAAGAGGTGATTATGAGCTGGGCTTTAAAGAGAGTAGCCATGTAGAAGAGGGACAGCTGCTTGGTGCACTGGCAATGACAAATGTTTCATTGCTATTGCAAGAAAAAATTTAAGATGGGGCAATTACAAAAGAGCTTGTGAGAGACTGGAAAGAGGTGGGGACCAGATTTTAATGATCCTTGTGTAAAATATAAAGAATAAAACTGGCAAAACTGCAGTTTCAAACATTTCCACCATTTGCCATTTTCTCGGAGCTTTCTTGAATCTGTAGACTATAATCTAGCTTATAGATTATTACAACTGTGAATTTATTAGCTGCTGTGTTGAAGTAGTCTAGTATTTATTTTATTTACTAAATGCCATGGTAGGCCTAACCCTGAATCACTTTCTGTTGCGTATAAAGAGGAAATTATAAGGTTTCTACTTTTGAGGAACTTACCAATTAATTGATAAAAGAGAAGAATCGAAGTTTATGGCCACCTTTCTGGCCCTCATGCCAGTTCGTGGGATTATTTTGGAGTTTATCCCAAAATGATTTTTGCATTTCAGAACCAGAAAAGATTATTTATAAATGTGATAATTTGTCTTTGCACTTACTCAGATACTGTGAAAATGTTAGCCTGAGTGGTGTTAACAATATGAAGCTCACTCAATCCTTTGGGTCTGGCTTTTGTTTTGTGTTTTGAGGTGTTGTGGATGGAACTCAGGGCCTTGTGCAAGCCAGGTAAGGGCTTTACTTCTGAGCTGTACTCCCTGCCCTAGTGCTGGCTTCTTGAAAGTACTTTGCCAATTCCTCTACTTTATCTTCTCTTGGCAGTTGAGACCCATAGCCAATGGACACTAACAAACATATTCTCTTTATGTGTGAAATAGATAACTTTCTAATTTTTAGTTATTTGCATACCATCTGCACGAGTTTTGGCCAWATTATTCACCATCTCTCCTGCTCTTCACTTAATATTTTTTTTTAATGATTTTTGTTATTCACTTGGTATTTGTCTTTAGAATGACTCATTTCTTAGCTTCAGCCCATGCAATAGTACCTTTTATTTTATTTTAGTTGTAGTTGGACATAGTACCTTTATTTTTTATGTGGTGCTGAGGATCAAACGCAGGGCCTTGCATGTGCTAGATGAGTGCTCTGCCCTGAGCCACAACCCCAGTCCCTGCAACAGTATCTTTAGTTATGAGTTTGTTTGCTGTGTTTTGTATGTATGTGTGTGAAAGGGAGGGACAAAAATAAATAACTATTGTATAAAAGTATATATATATATATATTAAGTATGTATTCTGCCTAAAACTTTTTTTAAATATACCTTATTTTGTAATACCTTAGGAAACCAAACTGGATTCAATTGAGACTTAAGGGGGGGGGGCACTACCTGTATTAAGCCCCATATTGATAATTTCARTTCTTGTTTGCTTTTTCTTAGGAGCAATATTTGATATTATTTTACTTATGACTTAACACATGAGTACCAAAGTTGACATAAGTGAGTGGACAAGAAGAAAAGTCATGAGTGAGAATGAAAGAAGAATCTGTAGTTGGAGAATGGGAAACTACTAAGAATGTTGTAGGTGTGGAACAGAATAAAGGAATAGTGTCATGTGACCATGGAATATTGTGCTGGACTGAGGTCTGACTGCTCTCTGACAGTATTTGTGGGGACCACCTGTCCTTGAGGAGGTTTGCTGACATGGATGGGGAGAACAGGACCTGTGAGAATGCTRAAGCTTTTTATTGAGTGCCCTTACATTTAAAGTCAGTGTTAGTACTAATACTATTCATAAATGTCCAGGTGTAGGATAGGCTTGTGGCACACCATCATCTGACTGCATTTAGAAAGTCCTTGCCAATATATGTTTGAAGGAACTACGCCTGAYGTAATAAGGACTTTAGCTAAAATAAAGTGCTGACTATATACATTTAATGAATTTTTATTTGCATTTCAAATGCTTGAACTAGGCATTTGTAGTTCACATTGAATCTGGAGATCGGTGTGCTTAGCCTTGTGATTAGAAATGTTATCTCTTAGGCTGGGATAGAGCACTTACCTAGCATGTGTGAGACAYTGGATATAAATAAATAAAATAAAAGGTCCATTGATAACTAAAAAATATTAAAAAAAAGTTATCTCTTACTGTGAAAACTTTCTGTGGTCTGATACATACTTTTTGTTTGAAAAGGTGAATATAAGATTATAGTTTTTTTATTATAAGATGAAGCATAATAGAGAATTTGCACTATAGTTTTGGACTGCATCTGGAAAGATTGTTTTCTATGGTTTCTGTCATAGTAACTTAGTGAATGTTGCTAAAAAGTTAATTGGAACTTTTTTGAGGTTTCTGTGACATTACTGTATAGAATTAAAAGGAAAAAAAATGGAACTGATTAGACTATTCCAGCAAAAATATTAAACTGACCAAATAGTTTCCATTATGAAAACCAAGGGAAGTACATACTTGCAGTTTAGTATTTTACTTTATCATAGATTCTGGGAAGTTTGAGGTAAAAATATTCTAATCACTTTTTCTTTTTCTCTTTAAAAGGGTAATACTTTAATTACTAGAGTTAAAGACAATGTGAGTGCCTTTTGTTTTTAGTATTTGTTTTTAGTTATAGGTGGATACAATATCTTTATTTTATATTTATGTGGTGCTGAGAATCGAACTCAGTGCCTCATGCATGCTAGGCAAGCACTCTACCTCTGAGCCACAACCCCAGCCCCTGAGTACCTATTTTAATGTAACATTTTTTTGAGTTTTAAGTAGTTTAGATTCGTATTATATAATGTGAGTAATTTTATATTTTAAAAACCAGAGCAAGGAAATATTGTAACTAACCATCTAAATATAACCATACATAACTATGTATTTGGTTTTTGGTAGATTATATTAATAATCAGTTTGGAAAATTTGCTTTTTAATTTGAAACAAATGTTTGAACAGTAACATATACTATGTTTCCTTCCATTGGGTGCATT